GCATCAAGGCAGCAGCTGCAGCTGAAGAGGTGAAGTCATCAGCTGTGGCATTGATAGTATGAGGTGCAGCTGCTGTGCCCCAGATAAAAAACAACAGTGCCCATACAGCAATAATGACAGACAAGTTATGAGAGGAACCAATCTCTTTCTGATTGGATTTAATGCTTATTCCACAAATTGTAACTGATGTGATATTAATTTGCTAATATACTTTTGCGTGGCTAGGTGATAAGCCCTAGGGAGAATTGAATGCTGTTATTCTAATAAGTGGATACTAACTAAATGAACGTAAGTCCTCATCTTATCCCACAGAGTCAGGAACCCACATTCTCATCTTATCCCACAGCGTCACGGACCTCTCAACACCCACTAAAAAAATGTTAGTTGCATTGTAGATAGGAAATAATACACAGATGCACATTTGTCAAAGTATAAAGAATATTAGGCTGTGGAGGGCCCTTGTCTAAAAGTGACTCCTTTGTCACACATTGTAAAAGAGGTCCCTTATGTACATCTAAAGCCAAAAGTCAGGGAATCCTAATGGAAAAGAGGCAGAAAGAATGTCAGAGGCAGAAATAGTCGATGTCTGCAGTGCGACAGTAGAATTGTTGAAACATTTTAGAACTCTGAAACATGTCCACAGGCTTCCAGGTTCCAGTCAACTGTCCTACATCCCCACACATAGTACCATTTTTTGGGGGATCAGAATGGCTCTGACCCCTCTAAGATCGCCCCCACCTCCCCTGTTCTGAGTGCGCTGAGGTCAGGCTGTTCTGCGGATGTTTTGCTGTTTGGTATATCTCGTGGTTTGGCAGCTGTGGCTTCCTGGGTCATGCTGATCATTCCTTGACCCTGGGTGCTTGATAAACAATTCTGTTTGTTCCTCCTGAAAGGGTATATAAGATGGGGAGGAAAGAATAAACAGTCCTGATGCTTGCAACTTGACTGGTGTGTGCTGTGCTCATCCCCACATCCCTCGCCAGGGTTTGGACCCAATTGCCATGTGGGCATGGCACCATTTCATGCTTAAATGTGGTTGATAAAATGTGCACCCCAATACGCTTATCTGAGGGTCAAAGAACAGAATAACTACCAGATTAGACATAGAAGCCAAAAATGGTGGCCCACATGCCTTTAATCTTGTCATTTGGGAGGCAGAGATCCAGATGGATCTCTGAGTTCAAGGCCACACTGGAAACAGCCAGGCATGGTACACACACCTTTAATCCTAGACAGTGATGGCAGGAAGCAGAAAGGTATGCAAGACATGAGGACCATATCTAGAGGCTTTTAAGGAAACAAGATCATCTGAGGAGCTAGAAAGGTGAACTTGGCTGTGGCTTTTCTGTCTCTCTGGTTTTTTAGAATTTATCCTAATATTTGGCTCCATGTTTTTTATTTATATGACAGTTTAGCAGTTGTCTACTCTTGAACACACTGTGACTATTGCTAACTGGACAACACTTTTACTGACTAAACCCCCACACACAATAGGCACAGTTGCATAAGGGCCTCACTATGTCTCACCCAGTGGAGGAGCTGTTTGGCAATTGATGGCTCCTGAGGGAGACAATCAATCTGAGAGGCTTCCAGGTTCCAGTCAACTGTCCTTCACCCCTTCACATGGAGGGAGCACTAAGTGGGATGAAGAAATATCACAGAAAAAGCCCACCAAGCTGGGAGAGTAAAGTGATTTTAAGGGTAAGAAGCATAGATGAAGGAATGTGGGGATTTAAATAAAACATTTAACATACATGTATTAAATTCTGCCCAAATAAATATCATTTTAATCCTTGTTGGCTTTAGACAAACCCAATCTGACCTGTTTTAACCATGATTACAGCACATGAATCTGGCTGTTATAACATTTACAGAGGGTCCGCATCCTACCATGAAGGCATCATGAGGGATCAAGTGAATGGACTCCCAGAAGGGATCAGATGCTGAGAACTAAGGAGCCCTCTACCTGTGTAACCTCAGGAAAGAAACAGAATGGCTTTGAGGAGATGAAATGCAGCCAGACTCACCTCGTATCTTCCACTTGGCTTTGCCATGAGAACAACAGAGGGATGGTGAACAGTGGTCTCTCCACCTTCCCTGACCTCCCTCCTACATCCATAGTGATCACAGCTGTTGTTGTCCCTGGTTATCAATCATTATAAAGTTAGGGAAGGAATGTAACAGTCAAATGATCTTGGATAGAAAGTGTGGTGATATTGTGTTCCCCAAAATACTGTGTACCCTAATACACTTTTCTTGGGTCAGAGAACAGAACAGCCACTAGATACAGAGGCTAGAAAATGATGGCACAAATGCCTTTAATCCTAGCATTCCAGAGGCAGAGATCCACCTGGTCTCTGTGAGTTCAAGGCCACACTAAAAACAGCTAGGCATGGTGACTCTCGCCTTTAATCCCAGGAACTGATGGTAGAATGCAGAAAGGTTTTAAGGCGTTTGGATGAGGAACTAGAGGCTGCTTAAGCTTTTAGGCTTTGGGCAGCACAGTTCAGCTGAGATTCATTTGCATGAGGGCACAGAGGCTTCCATTCTGAGGAAACAGGGTCAGCTGAGGAACTGGGGAGGTGAGGAAGTTGTGGCTTTTTCTGCTTCTCTGATCATTCAGCATTCACCCCAATACCTGGCCCCGGGTTTGATTTTTATTAATAAGACCTTTTAAGATTCATGCTACAAGAAATTTACAACACAGCACATCACAAAACTTCTGTCACTGAGTTTTGTTAAAAACAGTTTATTAACATGTAAATGCCATATGTGCACATTAGAGAAAACATGGAGAAATGAGTAAGCCTCTAGATTATGTGGCAAAGAGTCAATGCTTCCAGCTTGAATGTCCATCATAGATAATAAAGAAAGGCTGTGGTGTGGGAAGGTTCTGTTTTTTATAAATGCTAAGATGTAGTCAGCAATGCACCTTGAACAAAGGTCAAGTTTCTTATGTGAGTCAATGTTTTCTCCCTGCTTGGATTATCTGTAGACCTAGTATTTAATTTCCTCAGAACACAGACGGAAATTCCCTTATCAAAGGAAATGACCTTAATGGATATACATTTGTTCTATTACAGAATTATTTTTTTATCACTGCACTCTTTGGGGAAAGCATCACAAGCTACCAGCTCATGTGAGAAATAAAACAGAGACACTCTCAGGAGTAAACATTTCAGCAGAGGCTCCCAAGCTCAGCAGTGAATCACACAGCAAAGGCTCACACCGTCAGGAATAGGTAGTATAGCAGAGACAGACACACTCGGGTCAACAGGACAGCAGAAACAGTCTCAGGGTTAATAGAGCACAGACACCACCCTCTGGAGTAAACAATACAGCAGAAACCCGCAATCTCAGGACCAGGGACAGCAGAGACTTGAAACTCAGCCTGCATTTCTCATTTCTCTCTTTAATTTCAAACCCCATTATTTTCAAAGTAAAAAAAAAATATTCATATATGAAAATTAACAATACCTGGAAACCACAGTGTTGTGGAATGTTATTTGAACTAGGCAAAGATGTGTTACATCTGCTTCTGGTGTGGAGTCTTACTTTAACTGAGTAAAGGTGTGTTACATTAGTTTCTTCTTCCTTGTTACCCATGTAAAAATGTGTTCATTTGTTTCACCTTGCCTGCCTGAGGCACCTGATTGGTCTAATAAAAGGCAGGACAGGGATAGGTGAGAATTGCAGGCAGAGAGTATAAAAAGGAACAGAAACCTAAGATGGAGGGAAGGAGAGGAGAATGGTTAGAGAGGGACGCACCAGGACCAGTAGCAAGGAGGCTCCAGGCAGCCGTGGAGACAGCGGGAAAGCAAGATATATAGAA